GAGCGCAGTCGTGATGTCGCGAAATAGCATCTGACGTCATGCTCTGGGGAAAGCCGGCTGTGCGGGTACGTTGAGACGGCACTTGGATCCTCGACGGGAACTTGCATCCAATCCAGGGCAATTCTCTCAGCCTACCACGATAAGCCCGTGATAGAACCGGCGCTGTTTGTCGTGAAAAAGATGTCTGTGGGTGCAATTAAGGTTCTTTGCAGGATGCCAGCCCGCACGTGGGGAAAACTGGTCCTTACTAAGCGAGCAGCCGCCACTTAAATATGGGGTGTACGTTCTTTTAGGAAGGCTGGACACAAGAAGTGCATACCGCTTTTGTCCATGCTCAAAACTCAGCAAAACACAGTTGATGGGTTTTCACGATAGCTCTGCTCTAGATTTCCATGAGTGGGCGGCGAGCTATGCCGCTCTGATTGAGATGCACACCTCAAAGATATGGATGCGTTACTCCAAGAGGTGCTGCGACCACATCAAGCTAGTCTCGCGCGTTCGGCGTCAGCGCTTTCCGACTTCCTTCTTGGCTGACCCTCAGTCCTACGTACTCGGTTTCCACCGCTTGCCCACCTCAATTACTTTCTCACGACACGATGCCTCCACCCAAAAGGCCCAGGACTGAGTCGGGTCAGTCCCCCCGTCCGATCTAGGCCGATGTCGTCATGCCGTAATCCGAGAGATGTGCCCGCTCGAAACCCACTGTCATTAGAATCTACGGCGCATAACGTCTATCACAAGAGATAGTTCATGGCGATCCTTCTAAGAGTTTTCAGGGTCTCCCCACACTCATGCAATGAAGACACTAGACAGTTGTGGTTGTACATCTTCTACTAGCCTGGAGTCTACGACACAGCATATCTAATGAAGTGAAAGATTTGATATTAGTATAGCTTACAAGCTACCTGCGGCGAAGCGGTTTGGTTATTCAATCTACAAGCCTCGTATCCATGAACAGCTAGACTCTGTACCCAAAAGTATCCAGATCATCATACTACACGAACCAAAGGATTGATTTGCCAAATACCACTCCCACTACAACCGTCTTCAACTCCATATCTCGTCCTGAAACAACTACGTCCTACCAACGCTCATCTCTAACCCGCACATTTTCCCCCACCATATTCTCTACCAACGACACCCCATCACCGGCACCTCATCATGTAACCCAACACTCTCATCCGTCCGCTCATTGATAAGCTTCTCAAGACCATTAAGCAAATGCCGACATTGGAACAAAAACGCAGCCGCCGACTCGGTACGCGGAGGAGAGTAACAATAGTTCACTTTCATCAGTCGAATAGTACGAATAGCGTCGCGCTGCTGAAACGTCAGAGTCCAGAGGAAATGCTTGAAGCCACGATTGTGGTGGGCCCGGAAAGTGTTTAATTTGAAGGGTAGCCATGTTGTCTCGGATCGCAATTGTCGCGAAGTGGCTGTGAGCGCGAGGAAGTGGTGTGGTCGATTCCAATCGTCTTTGTTGTAGGAGGACAGTTGGATGGGAGGATGACTGGACATATTATAGCCGTGGGGACGACTTTCTGTACGGATTTCATGGCCGCCTAGTACGTAGACGTATATTTGATTACGTAGCTCAGCTGGGAGACGGAGAAGCGGAGATTCGCGTTGGTTGCGAAGGGTTCTGCTGATGTCAGTCTGGGTCGGCGAGGTGATGGGGGTGTTCTCAAGAGCATACATTAGTTCGCACATGGATGCAGCGGCCTCGGATCTTATTTGGACGTAGGCCAAGGTTATAGTTTGAGGTGGTATATAACTTGAGAGTGTGCGGTTCAAAAGAATGAGCAGTGAGCGGACGACGCAGGCTTACGAGGTAAACATAGCGGTAGCCCGATTGAGTAGCGGTGCTAGTTCAAGAACGTGTGCATTTTGATTCCAGTGAATATGTGACTGTGCGCCCAGGAACTAACGTCATTCAGCATCAAGATGAATATATAGGCCGTTGGGTATCATCGAAAATGTGTTCAAGTCTGGTACAGCCCTCTACCAGTATTATAAAGATCGTAAGCTAGGAACTAACGTCAAGGTGACTTCATTTTGTACTGCACATATAAACATCCCGTGCACGAAACGGTGGCAGACACGTCCAATGCTCGGTACCATTCCATTGCCGCAACAAAGCGACCAACTCGTCAACGCCATAACAAATGCACTCCTCTCCCTCCCGTCCCGTTCTCCACAACAGAACCACCTATCTACCACTCTTCCTCGCCTTCTTCGCCCGATCATAAGCATTCTTCTCCCTCCCCTCCTCACCCTGAATCTCCGCCACAAGCCTCCTATACTTCGTCTCATACGCCTTATCCTTCTCCTTCTTCTCCTTGAGCGTCTCCCTCGCAATAAAGTTGGCATCCTTGCGCAACTCCCTAAGCGCACCTTTCCTCTCGCGCTTGTACTCCTTCTGCAGCTTCTTGGCTTCCGAGCGCTCCTTGTCTGGGTCGTAGTGGCGGTTGGGATCGAAGGATTCTTCGAATTTGGGAATGCTGGATTTGATGGGGAGGGGGCGGTGGTGGTGCAGGAGGAGGGGTCGTCGTTTTGAGCGCGCGAGAGAGAGGCGGGCGAGGAGGTTTTGGTGGGTGGAGGTTTGGTTTGCGGATTTGAGGGGGGCGAGCAGCGGGGTGAAGATCTCGATGAAGGCGGTGGAGGCGCTCCAGAGTTCAGCGGCTGTGATGACGTTCTTGCTATGGGCTGATAGGAGAGTGGGTGTAGCATGCTCTGATTTGAGAGACAGTCCGGTGTAGCGGATGAACTCCGGGATGTATCGCTTGGATAGCCTTTGGTATTGGAGACATAGCGCACCGATGAATGCACCGGTTGCAACATCTCTAGTAGAGGCAGGTGAGGTGAGTCCCATCCAACGAGCCATGAGAGTGATGGCGGGAGTGACGACTTGGTGGAAGTGGTCAGAAGTGGGGAAGATGGAGCCAATAGCTGCAAGTAGAGCCAGATCGCCTGGAGTTGGGTCATTTGATACCTGAAGCTGTTTCAAGTGTTGTCGGATTTTGGTGGCAATCTGAACTGGGTATGACCGTGTCATGGAGTGAATATGGCGGATGATGGCTTCGATGACAGCCAGCGACGCAGCTGGTGTCTGGTTCGATAGGTAGGAGACGTGATCAACAAGTGCGCATGCGAAGTCGGCAAGCTTGTGCTTGTTTTCTTGATGCAGTCCAGCGTGGTAGAGCGCACGTATCCGCTGAATGACAGTGGAGGTGTCGTTGGGAGCAACGTCCTTGAAAACCTTCAGCAGCTCTTCGTGAGACCGCGGGCACGCGTATGTAAAGGCCAATTTTGACGAAGGCTCGGCAGCAAGTGTAAGCACGCCGTTCACAGCCTTGGGCTGTTCTTTCCGCTCTGGCATGACGTGCTTCAAGAAGTCTGCATCCTCTTCGTCCATGGCCATGGTGTCGTCGATCGCAGAGCCGGCATCAGACTCATCATCAGACATGTCTGCTTCCGAGTCGGTAGCCACGAGATCGTCGTCCATGATGAAGTCGTCCTCATCCTCAACGCCTTCTGGTCGCAGCTGGCCTGGTAGTTTCAGACCGAACTCGGCAGCATCGTCGGCAAGGTCGTCTTCGTCTTCATCTTCATCCTCCTCTGACTCCTCGACACCATTCTTGCGTGGCTCTTCGTCATCGCTGACTGGCTCTCCTCGCATCCTCTTCAACCGCTTCTGTTCGAGCTCCTTCAAGCGGTCGGCCTCTTCCTTGGCCTTCTCCTCTTCCGTCTTCGTTCGCTCCGTCGGCTTCGCTCGCTCATCTTGCATCAGCAGACGCACGCGCTTATCGTATTCTCTGTCCTTGTCTTGTTGTGTGGTTCCAGCGAGGAGCGCGGCGCGGTCGGCGTTCATGCCAAACTCGTTGACTTGGGGGTCTTTTGGCTTCTCGGGCTCGGGCTTCTTGTTGATGTGTCCTCGCAGGGCAGACAGCACGTCGTTGAGGTCCTTGTCGAGTTCGTCGCGCAGCTCATCGTCGTCCTCTTTTTGCGCCTGGCGCTCGTATTTGTGTTGCTTTGACTTGGCCACGACTTCCTTCATGACCTCTGCCTTGCTCTTCTTCCTCTCTGGCTGATCTGCAGCCGCTTCGCCATCCAATTCGCCGTCTTCATCGTCATCGTCTCTCCGCCTCTTCTTCTTCAAGAAGCCATCTTCGCCGTCGCTTGAGCCAGCAATGCTAGCCGCGTCGTAGTCTTCCTCTCCAATCTCGTCGTCAAAACGAAGAGACTGTCCGCCGTGGGTGAGCTCCACCTCATCGGCATCGTCCTCGAGGTCAAACACATTGCCACCTCTCTTGCGCTGCTGTTCCCTCTCGAAGCGCGCCATTTCACGATCCTCCAAGCTCATTGTCGGGTCATCTTCGCCTATCCGCCTATCCAGGATGCCTCCGACTTTGTTCTTGCGATGCATCTCCGGAAGCAGCGACTTCCTTCGTGCCTCTTCGCCCGCGCTCTTCGTAACGCCAGGCCGGCCGAGGATCTTCTTGGGGGCATTCTCAGCCTGCGCAGAGACGTACTCATGCTTGTGGGGGCGCGCAAGGTGCTTGAACTCGAAGGGATTGAAGGATTCGCGAATCGAGGCGAGCGCAGAGGCTTTCCGTTCGTGGTGGTCGGCGTTTTTGGATTGCGACTTCTTCTGCTTCTTCGACTTTTGCGGGCCGGTGATGCCCTGTTCGCGCAGGGAGGCCTTTAGCCGCTTCAGCTGGGACGGCGGCATCGTTGTGGGTATCCGAAAGCCTGGAGACCTTCCGATAGAGAATTCGGCGTTGCGAGGCTCGTGGGCGGCTCGAGATGGTCGACCTGAAATTATTTCGAGAGCCAAAACTTCGGGCATGGTGATCCTGGTCTAGCGCCACCTGTGAGCCGCGCCCCACTTTCACACGCGACGAGCGCCATGACTGCCCGCGCGCAACTGCCTCGACGACCGCATCATGCTTCCAGCCTCGCCGCCATAGGCCTCACGTCATGACCAACTATCCCTCACTATGGCATCCAACATCCCCGACCACTGGCTCTGGCTCGGCCTTGGTACAACTCCCTCTTCCACCAACCCATCAGCCCCGCTAACCACATGTGCATCTCCCAGGCGTCTTCACCTTCATAGCCGTCAAGCAAGTCTCCCACGGCCTCAACCACATCCGCACCCTCACCGAGATCCGAGACCCCCAAAATATCCCCCAGCAGCGCCGCGCCATCCCCTCCGGACCGCCCACCCACCAAGAAGATGCGATTAAGACAAGCTCCCTCTTGACACTGGCGACGAGTCACAACAACGATATCCGCGCCTCGGCTACTAAGATCCTATGTACACGCTTCTACGCCTCCAAGTCTGCCAAGGACCTGCTTATCAAAGACCTGTATTGTGCAGACGGAGAAGTACTGCATCGCGCCCAGTTGGCCTTCAATCTGCTGGGTGACATGGGTGTCTGGAGGGATGATGCGTTCTTACCCAACAACAGGTTCAGGTGGGATGTCGTTCAGCAGCCTGGAATGGGGAGTGGTTCGCAGAGGGATCTCAGGAGGAGACGGAGAGAGGCCATGGTGATAAGTGATGGTGAAGGGCTGATCGGAAGTGACGATGTCTACATGAGGGAACCTGAGGGCGAAGAAGAACATGATGATGGAGAGTCCTTGTTTGTGTCTTGAAGAGGCCAAGTTATGGATACGGTGTGGAATACGGATTTTGATACCCATCGATGTTAGAATACATCTTCTTTTCATGTTGTCGTATTACTGCCCCGAGTCTCTATCGATATACAACAGCGGGCGCGTCTTGTAAGCCTGTCTATCGTCCGTCTTCACTGCGTCCAAACCCTCTAAACCCTCCGACATCTCTTCTGAAGAACTTGCCAATGTTCTTCAAATTACTCTCCAGGTTTGCGCCCCCATCAGCACCTCCAGCCTGCTGCTGCTGACCCGGCGCAGGACTACCGAATCGATCAACACCATCTCTGGCCGCATTGACAAGCATGTTACCCAGACCTGTTGCGTCAAACCTGCCTCCACCAAGACTTGGTGTGCCCATCGTGCCCATCACACTTCCCGCCGCACTCCCAACGCTACCTCCCGTCTGGATTTGCAGTGGAGTAAGGAAAGGCGAATTCTGCACCAGGTTTTCATGGTTGGGCGATGCGCGGAAGGCAGAGAAGAGGTCGAGGAGCTGAGTTTGCTCAGCCTTGCGAATGCCCTTGAGATCCATGATCTTCTTGAAGTTGGTGTCCGATTTGTCGGCAATGTGGATGAGGTAGGCTTGTACGAGGGCCTCTGGTGGCGAGGGGCGGACTTGGAGTGTTTTGAGGAGGGGATCGATCTTAGACATTGACTGGTTTACACGTTTGATGAAGCTGATGAACAGATTAGCCTTACGTTACGCTAAACAGGAGGGTCTCGGAACATACCTTGCTGGTGGTGCTGTGCCAGGCTCTTCATTGAGCGTGGGTAGCTCCGTGAAGCCTTTCTTCAGCACGTACGAGTCTAGCAGCATCTGCTCCGCGCCAACTTCGGAGATCGGCTTGCACTGCACTATGTTCGCAATGTAGATGGAAGCCATTAAGTCGACAAGGTTATCGCTGAAAGCTCGCGCATATTGCTGTTTGTGAAGAAACTTCAGGATTTCTCCAGATCTCTCCTTCACGTTACGCAGAAGCTCTCCCACGTAGGAACTTTGATCGCCAACGCTCTCGAGCTTTGCCCAAGGCGTATTTCGCATCTCCCTCCAGCTAGGCTCGCACGCGATCTCCACTTTCCGGACAAGCATTCGGACTGTCGCACTAGCGATACCCATGAAGGCGTCGGCCTGGCTCTGCAAATCGACCTTTTCCTTGAACTCTTCATCTATGCGACCTCTTATCTTCTCTTCCAGTTGGTTGCAGGTCATGTAACAATAATCTGCAGTATTGAGAATGAGGATGGCGTCTTCGACAGATGGTCCTTGTGCTCCTGCTTTCTCACTAAGGAAGTAATACAGCACTTGCTGGCCATACTGGTCAAGGTACTTGGCAAAAGTCATAGATAGCTCCTGTAACCTCGTTCCAGTCGAGAGTTTGGCGCATTGCGCCAACGTCATACGATAGAATTGGAACAATTCTGTCGACGAGGGTATTACAGCTTGATGCGAGAAATCCTCTTCTGGATTGCGCAGGGGTTGTTGCCGATACTTTGGCATAAGGTTGGCAAGTTGCCTACAGAGTCAGCATCGTGTTCGACAGACATTTGCGTGTAACCTACTTGTCTTGAGACTCGACCCAGAGGCTCATGTAGGGTTCAAAAGCCTCAGAGATGGCCTGACTAAAGCCATGTGGACGGTCGTCCTTAGAAGCGACTGTGTCCATCGAAGAACGTGACTGCTGGGGAATGAGTACGTGTTCCAATGTGATAGACCGTCTTCACGCACCTCGTTGGAGAACCGCCTTTCCAAGCTGTGTTCGAAGTCCAGCGTCTCCTGTAAGCACGAAAGGAGTAGTTCGACGTCCAGACTCTGCCCATCGCCTCTCCGTACAGCCTTTTGTAATATAGACTTGAAGTCTTCGCGGGTTCCTTCGCAGAACGAGTTGGCCAGCATCTCGTTTACTCTCCAGTAGGCTGGGAAGATGGAAGCGTGTTCGACATCATATGTTTTCATCATCCGGTTGAACCAGCTGTATCTTCGCCCGATATTGTCCAAGGATCCAGCCTGTTGTTATTAGCGGGGTGTTGCCATGTACAGATGCGAGTGGCTCACCTCGTCATTGCCCCGGAAGACCTGGCGGTACTCGCGAAGCTGCGTATTGCAGTACCAGTTGATAAGCCGTGTGCGAGCGTGCTCTCCGAGCGCGTCAATGACCAGACATGCTTCCGCCAGCATGCCTTTCCGTTGGGCTGTTTCGCCCTTGGCGAATGTCACTTCGAAGTCCTCGCAGACCTGCTCCAGCAATTCGCCCTGCACATCCGCCACGTTGCGACTCAGCGTTGCGATCTGGTCTATCGAGCGATAACTCTTGAAGTGTGCCACGAGCTGTATCACAGCCTGTAGAAGCTGTGCGCATTCCCGATATTGCCGCGACTTGCTGAGGCTCCGTAGTTGTTCGTATGCCGTCGTCAGCATCTGAAGGCGCTTTAACGCCGTCATGGAGAGCGTCAGGTTCTTCTTGGTGCTATCCAAGCGCTTTATGTCTGCAGTCATCTCGGTGATGGTCTGCTCCGTCTGCATGGCCCGCTCTCGGACGCTCTCGATCTTCTTGAAGAGGTCAGCCAGCTCTGCCTTGGCGGCCTGGATGCGCTGCACGCTGTCGGCATCGGCAGTGGACTGTGAGGCGACAACGCCCGCGATGTCTTCGTCGAGGTCATGCTGGTAACTGCGGAGGGTGTCCGACGTGGCAGAAACGGACGAGAGCGCGGCGGGGTGGGAAAAGATGGCGTTCAGGTGATCGATGGGGTCGTATGAAGCTGCATTGAGCGTCAGCGCGGAGTCCATGCTTGTGGGTGTTACTGGGACTGCGTACTAGATTCCAGCGAGGTGGAGGGCGCAGGCATGTGGTTCGGCGGGCGTCCGCGTCAATGGCATGCGCTCGCGGTACACGGTTGCAGTCGTCGCAGCGGCAAGGAAGGCACGGCCGGGGTGTAAATTAAGACGAGAGATATCCTATCTATCTAGGACGCAGTACGCACAGTTTGGTATTATTGGCAATTGCCTGACGTCCCCCATGCCTCACAAGCCAATATCCCACGCGTCCTCAATCAGGGTCCCGTACTCCGAGGTCCGAGCTCATCGCGCTAGAGCACCCTGACGTGTGGTAACATCGCCTTTGAACGTATACAGAGTACAAACACTACACTCATACACACCACAGTCCATAAATACATTTGGATACCACTTAATTTTTAAACGTGGGGCTTACCACTACGACCCAGGCACTATTGCGGGAATAGACCCAAGAATCCGTTGTAGACTAAACTGCGATCTTTCTGTGTGAGCGAGCTTGCATCCCCTGTGCCGGTCCAATAGAAGAGTCCACCTAGTCCGTTTTGACGCACGTAGTTGGCCTTCATCCTGACTGTGTGCGGGGTATCGTATGTGACCAGGCCTCCGTCACCACCAATGCAGTAGGCTGCGCCCAGCTGCTCGTCTACGTGCTCTTCCGCACCCGGACGTGGTAGATCTCGGTACTCGAATGTGCCCTCCTCTCCTGCCTGCCCAGAGAACGAGTGGCCTATACCACGGGTTCCGGTGAAACTGCGGCCATATGCTGGCACACCCATGACAATCTTGTGTCTTGGGACACCTTGCTGCATCATGTACGAGACAGCTGAGTGGCACGATATTGCGGCCTCGGGACTGTGCGGAATGTGTGGTGTGAAGAGTTGAGCTTGGTGTCCGCACTTGCTGACCCACGGTCCAGAGTAGTCGTAAGCCATAAGGTTGATCATGTCCAGATAGTGCGAAGCATGTCCCAGGTTGATGTGTTGAAGGGCCCATTCGCCCGCTGGAAGTGCTGAAGAGAGAGTGTACTGAGGGGCTGGCAAGTACTGGCGAAGTATAGCCAGAAGAGCGATGTAATCCTGACCTTGGCTGGCATCTGAAGGGTGCTCCCAGTCGACTATTGCATGATCAGTAGAGGCTCTTCAACTTGGTTCGTAGAACTGACTATCGATTCCATCGATTCCAAACTGCTGTACCAGTGCCAGCGACGACTGAGCGAAACGCTCACGGCATGCAGGGTCTCGAGCTACACCAGCAAAAGGCTCACTGCCTTTCCCGCCTCCACCGACAGACAGTACAACCCGTAGTCTGGTGTATTTTCGCTTCAATAGAGCAAACGAGTTCAGGCAGCCCTTCGTTGCAGGAATGTCGTCAGTGCCTGGAACCTCGATTTGAGCATCCGCCCATTCATCGCTCAGCTACAACGCGAGTCAGTCGGTGAGACTTCTGTACATCTGACATACTTACGTAGACAGTTCCATCATCTTTCACCCTGTGACCGTATTAGCCCTATCACCCAGTAACTCTATCCAGCACCTAGCGTACCAGGCAAACGCATAGAAAACGTGCGAGATGACATCGTAGTTCAGCGACACGGGTGGTTGGTCGCGATAGATGCGCCAGTTAGGATAGTAAACTCCGTTCCAGTACATGGCTTGCAGCGGTGTAGAGAAAGTGGTGTCGTGACCAGGCGGGTTGAAGTAGTGTCGGCTCATTTTCGGTCGTCGTCAGCTACAGCCTAGCTCGCTGCACGTCAGAACACCCTGCAGGTATAGGCGGGTACCCGGACTTTGAAGGATCAAAGTTGGACGGATATCGGAAGCTCCTTTTCGTCTTGGTTTCGAGACTTGGTCTTGGTAACGAAAATGTACAGGTATGTAAGTAGTTCAAAAGAACGAGTTGTGTGCGTCGAAGATTATGTGGCTGAGAAGTTAGTAGGCAAGAGAAGGCGAAGGAATAGGTCGAGATTGTCCAGTGTAATTCGAAGCACTTCTTGCTTGTATATGAATACAAATGCAACGCAATCAATAGTGGCACCAGAGGCCATCGGTGATGCAATGCTTCGGATGATCGTCTTGAGACCGACGGACCGCGCAATCATCCTAGAAAGGACGAAGGTTTCCATGCAGGCCTTGCTATAGTGGCTTCACTACGGATTAGACGGTGAGGCCCAGTCTGGCAACTGATG